CAGCCCAGTCACCCACCTCACGCTGGCATTCAACTTCAAAATATCCAGATAGAGGAAATTGTCACATGTAAGGGGGAAAAATCAGAGTTAGCAAGAGCTCGAAGAGAAGAGCAAGCCGGCAAACAGGACTGAGAGAAGGTGACCGGAGGTGAGGCAGGTCTCTGGCCTAACCCAGGTCCTAGCCCCAGCTGCCCTGCAGAACCAGCCAGCGGCGACCTCACATGCCTCGGAAGACTCACGGGCACCCCACATGCTATAGAATCCCCCCAACGCCCACAGTCGCTCAGTTCTGACTCACACCCGCCCTTCCATGCAAAAGACCCGAAGGAACAAGAATCCCAGGCCGAAGCTTCTAGTATTGGGGCTGGAACGATAGTACAGCAGTGAGGGCATTTGCCTTGCATGCAGCCAACGTGGGTTCGAATCCCAGCACCCCACATGGTCCCCTGAGCACCGCCAGGAGTAAATCCTGAGTGCAGAGCCAGGAGTAACCCCTGTGCATCACCGGGTGAAAAAATTAACAATAAAAATATAACACCGTGGAGATGTGCAGACTGGGGGCGGGGTGCAGAGGGAGACCTCCCAAAGAGTGGCCCAGAGTGAGCATAACATCCCCAAAGATTCCGTAGGATGGGTCCGCCAGGTCTGGGGTGCAGCCTCACACTTGAGTCTAAGCCACCCTGGTCAGGATGTCCAAAGAGTCCTCAGAAAAGGACCAGAAACTCTGCATTGGAGCAGAGTAGAGAGGATGATTCAGGGGAAGGAAAGCATTAGGGGGCATCTTTCGAACTGCTCAAGGGCCCAGGTGACTGTTCAGAGCGGGAACTGTGTCTGCCTGCGGACAGCTAAGCCGGCTCCTGCCCAGCCCTGCCCAGCCCCGAGCACCCAAACAAAACATTCATTTTGAAAAACGGCGTATTACTACAGAGACACCTCTAACAACTCCCACCCGGCGAGGCTCAGGGGATACCCCTGGCTCTGCACTCAGGAATTATTCTGGTGGTGCTTCGGGGACCATATGTGATGCCGGGGATTGAACCTGGGTCAGCTGCGTACAAGGCAAATGCCCTCCGAATGTATATAGCTCCAGCCCTTGCAATTCCTCTTTAAAAGCCCCTAGGGTCATATCTGGTCGTGTGTGGGTCCCTCCTGTCCTGAACCCGGGGCTCCCCAGGTGATGCTGGGCCTCTAGCCCTCTAAGCTATCTCCACACCACCCAGAAATCCGTAAGTAAAGTGAAAAAAGTAAAGGCCCTCCCATTGTTCGTCCATTTGCTCGAGCGGGCCCAGTAACGTCTCCATTGGAGACTTTGTTGTTACTGAGTTTGGCATATGGAATACGTCACGGGGAGCTTTCCAGGCTCTGCCGGGCGGGCGAGATACGCTTGGTAGCTTGCCGGGCTCTCCGAGAGGGGTGGAGGAATCGAACTCGGGTCGGCCATGTTGGCTGCGTGCAACGCAAACGCCCTGCCACTGTAATATCGCTCCAGTCATAATTCCGTATTAAAAAAAAATTTGTTTACGTTAACCACAGGGGCCGATGGCAGAGCGAGGCCCGGGTTCTTTCTCTTAAGGTGCTGCTGAGACCAACATGCTGAGGGGAAAGGGTGCCCGGAAATCTGGTGATGCACCTGCGTTCTAGAAAGGTCGTGTCTTGAGACCAGCAGCAGCAGTACCACAAATCAACGCACACACCCAAGAAAGCAGGGAAACGCGGTCACATCTCAAACACACCTGCACAAGCTTCCAATGGCAGAGGGCGCAGAGGGCGCAGACAGGCACCGGAAGCGTTGGGGAAGTGCACGGGTTCAGGCTGACTCCCTGGCTTGGTACTGGGGGTGACACTTGGCGGGCTTGGGGGACCGTATGGGGTGCTTGGGAACGAACCCGGGTCTGCCAGGGGCAAGGCAAGTGCCCGACCCACCTTACTATCTCTCTGGCCCTGGTACGCTGTTTTTAGAAGACATTATCAAGCTGATGTGTTTCCCCCTTGCATCTTCCCCTTCATTCCAGTATTTATTTTCCCTTTCCCTCCCTTTCTCGCTGAGGCTGAGGGTCGCACACTCTAGATGGTGGTTACCCACTTGGGGGGTGGGGGGTCTCACTCGGCCTGCCAGAACTCCAGCCATGCCCAATTTTCCCTATTTCCAGTGAAGAATATGCCATAGGAAAAACATCTGGTTGAAAACTCACATAAATCAATGCTTTTGGGTCTACAGATACTCTTAAGGGACTAAGCATGGAGAAACCTCACCGCACAGAAGATAGAGCCAGAGTTCTGGCTCGGGCGCCTCTAAGAGCCAAGCTGACACTTCGAATTAGAAATTTTTCAGAAGTGCTCCCTGTCATAAAGATAGTAAACAAAACATATAAAATCATATTTGTAAACAAAAATCCACCTTTCAGAAAAAGACAACATTTAAAAAAGAAAATGTCCCGGGGACCCGACAGATAGTTCAGTGCGAAGGTGCTTCCCAGGCATCAAAGAGTCAAATATGGACCCCTGGGGACCACCAAGAGTAATCCCTGAGCATCACCAGGTGAAGCCCCAAGCAAAAACCAAAGCAAAGCAAACAAATAAATATGTGCTGAAAATAACCAGTAGGAAACAGGCTGGGACGGGCATGTGGGAGAAACAGAATTTCCCGCACACCCTGCACCCAGCCCTGAGGTCACACTGCAGAACCTCAAGTGTTTGAATGAAAAATGTAAGCAATTTTATTTCTAAAAATGAGAATGTAAGAAAAGAGTCTTCAGGTCTTGCCAAGACTCGATCAAGGTGAAAGGCGGGTCACGAAAATAAAATCACTCACAAACCTACGTTTCTTCTGCAGGCACCTGGGCAGCGGCTGCCGCTCCTCGAAGTGGGGGCCCGGGAGGATGTGCAGAAATTCCTCGATTCTGCGCCAACCAGGCCGGGAGAGCAGCTGGGCCAGCCGCATGCTGAGGGAGGCATAGCCGAGATGTCCGTGGGGTTCTGCGGAGAATTCGAGAGCGACACCTGGAGTCAACCAACTCCTCTCGGCCCAATGGGCCATGGGATCTCTTTTTGTTTGTTTGTTTCGGCGAAGGCCATACCCTACGGTGCTCAGGGCTCCCTCCTGGTGCTGCACTCAGGGATCACAACCTGGGTTGGCCGCATTAAAGGCAAACGTCCTCCACGCTGCCATCCTGGATTTGACTTTGGGGAGGAACACAGTGTGCTCCAGCCTACCCTGCTCAGCCCTGCCATCTCCACCCTCTACCCAATTTCCCAATCTCTCTCTTCTCTCCTTCTCTCTCTCTCTCTCTCCCCCCCACCCCTACCCCTACAGCTTTATGGATCAGACCTGGTGGTGCAGAGCTGACGCATGGCTCTGCCCTCACCTCTCCTGGCCCTGAGTCCTTCTGTCTCAAACCAATCTCAGAAAGCTGCTTGGTGCCCCTGTGTGCTGGAAGGTGCCAGTGCCCGGCAGCACGTGCAGAGGGCAGGTGCGTGGCCAAACCCCAGCACCGCTGGGTCTGAACATTCAACTGTCTGCCCGGGAAAGATTCCATCCGACCCCCACAGAAGAAAAACTGTTCATCGATTTGGTGAGAAACTTCTCCTATAGAAACTTGGCCCACTGGGGGGAGGCAATGTGGAAAGCTCTAAGCCCAGCCAAGCTACTCTCAGGCATTCTTCCAGGGGGCGAGGCCCCAGGGCACAGCCAAGCCCAAATCTCCCAAAGGTGAGAGTGACAGCCCCCAGCATCACAGTCACCCCCAGTCTGAAACCCCCCCCCTCACAGTGACTCTGAGTCCAGCAGCCCCAACTGCCCACGGTGAGTCAGTTGTGTTGGTCCCCAATCCTCTTACTTGAGGCCGGCCTTTTCCCTGACCAGAGGCTTCCTTGAGTCCAGACCAGCCTCCCCCGCCCTGAGGCCTAAGTGGACAAGGGCCCCCGCTTCCCACCCCCCAGCCCCCATTTTCAAAGAGCATCCCCCAAAAAGCCCCTCTCAGTCCTGGCTTCTGCAAGGGCAGCGCCTTCCCACCAGCAGGATGCCACACCACTGGGGAAATGTGTGTGTGTATGTCTATGTATGTGTCTGTGTGTGTATGTTGGTCCGCATGCATGTGCGTGAAGGCTCAGCTCGCCTATTAGATGGCGTGCATGTGCATGCGTGTGCATGAAGACTCGGCTCACCTGCTCATTCACATCGTCCATCCAGAGGCGCAGGGTCTTCCGGATGGTGGGGTAGCTGTTCCTGCCCCACTGCTGGGGCCGCAGCAGCCCGGCCTTCTCCAGGTTCTGTAACGTCAGGATGTGCTCGTAGCCGTATGTCTGCCAGAGAAGTTGGGGAGCCTGCTAGATCTCCCACTTCCGAAGAGGGAGCCAACATTTTCATTCTCATTTTGATACTATTGTTTTTGAGTCATACCCGGCAGCATGCAAGACAAGTGCCTGACCCCTTTCTACCTCTTGGTTTGTTGGGTTTTTGTGTTTGTTTGTTTGTTTTGCTTTTCAGGTCACACCCGGCGATCCTCAGGGGTTACACCTGCCTTTGCACTCAGCAGTCACTCCTGGCAGTGCTCAGGATAACGTATGAGATGCTGGGAATCGAACCAGGGTCGGCTGCGTGCAAGGCAAACGCCCTACCCGCTGTGCTATTGCTTCAGCCCCTTTCTAGCTCTTTGGACCCCACATTTTCACTTTAAAGTCAGAATGCATGGGCCCAACGTAAGGAAGATAGATGACAGTGTACTGAAATAACTGAGTAAGAAAAGGAGGCCAACCACACCTCCTGACGTGCTACTGTCCAGATGTCTCCTTTGTTTTGTTTGCTTTTGCCCGCCCCCCCCCCACTTCCTGTGCTCAGGGATCAGTGCTGGTGGGGCTCAGGGAACCCATATGGGTGCCGGGGATCGAGCCCAGGTGGGCACATGCAAGGCCAACTGCCTTTTTAATAAATTTCTTCCTTGGCAAATGAGTCACTTAGAAACACTGACCTGGAGAATTTCTCTTTTGTAATAATCCAGAACCTTCTGCTTGACCCCACTGTTGCACACCGACTGCAGGCAAATGAGCCTGAGCACCTTGATGAGTGGATGCTTCTGGGCGATGCAGTCCTCCATGTAACTATTGACCTAGAGTCCTGGCAGATTCATGCGTGAGAGCCGGGTCTGGGCCTGCAGGCCTGGGCGTTCCCCGGCCCCTGAGAGGCCCAATCAAGGAGAGGCTGGAGATTGGCTCACACTCCTGCCCACACTCCCTGGACAATCTAAGCTCCGGGGCTAAGGGCGGCGGGTGCAACTGTCCCACTTGTCAGCGACACCTGAGCAGCATCAGTAAAGTAGCAGGGACTGTGGGGAATTTGGGCGCTTGCTTGCTGCAAGTGAGAATGCGGGATTTATTGACAGGCAGACAGGAAAAGGGATCATATAACCCATGCTCTTAAATTATCCATGATGGGCTTCAATAGTCTTGGGCTTCAGGGCTGGGTCTTGTTTCTCTCAGGACAGCGAACAGCAATGGAACACATGCACACGCACACACAATGGAACACACACACACACATGCATGCACACACACAAAATGGAACACACACACACACACACACACACACAGATACACACCACCCCCGGTCAACAGAAACCTATCCCTTGGCAGAATCTCTTTCCGCACATTTTGCACTGCCCTGACAGGCATTTAGGCCAGACAGAGAAATCAAAGCGATTCCTTTCCTACCTCGAGTTCTGTTTGCCAATCTCATTAACTATCGGCTAAAACGGTTTTAGTGTTCACGTACCTGATCAGTGTCTATTCCAGACATAAACTCCTGCTCCACGGTTAACATATCAAAGAAGTCTTCAGACGCTGAAACATAATTAACACATGAGCAACTCAGAAGTGGGATAAATGCTCATTTCTCCCAAAGGCATGCAAAGTAGCAAGCAAGCACCAAGTTTAAGTCATCACCGGGAAGGCACATTCCAGAACAGAGAAGCTGACAGCCTGTGCCCCGAGGTGCGCCTAGACACAGAGCCCCGGGACCTGGGCCCTAGTAGCTTCCTCTTCACACTTCATCACTTAACTTCCCGTTAGTCGTTGATTTGCTCGAGCGGGCTCCAGTAACATCTCCATTTGTCCCTGTCGCGTGCTAGTGTAGCCCAATGGCATCTGTTCGCTCCGGGAACATGAAAGGCCTCAAACCGATCGTTCATGATCTTGACGAAGAAGTCTGACCATCTGGTAGGTGGGTGGCCACGCGGTCTTTTGACATCCCGTGGAATCCAATCGGTAACAGCTCTAGTCCAGCGGTCGTCTTTAAATCTCATTACGTGACCAGCCCATCTGATTTTCGACACCTTGGCAAATGAGACAGCGTCCCTGATTCTTGATCGTCGACGGATGTCAGAACTCCGGATTCTTTCTCTCATTTGAGTGAAACGTGATATTCCAAGCATAACTCTTTCTATTCTTCTTTGGGCTGGAGCGATAGCACAGAGGTAGGGCGTTTGCCTTACAAGCGGCCAACATGGCCGACCCGAGTTCGATTCCTCCGCCCCTCTCGGAGAGCCTGGCAAGCTACCGAGAGTATTCGATATGCCAGACACAGTAACAACAAAGTCTACAATGGAGACGTTACTGGGCCCGCTCGAGCAAATCGATGATCAACGGGAGGGCCTTTACCTTTACCTTTACCTTATTCTTCTTTGGGAGACGTGAATAGCGTTCTCATCTTGTTTGCGTAGGGCCCAGGTCTCTGAGGCATATGTTAATGCAGGAAGAACAGTGGAATCAAAGAGATGTGCCCGGAGCCGGAGGTTCTTCGTCCTCTTAGCTATTTCTTCAACGTTCTTGAAGGCTTCCAAGCCGCTCTCTTCCTCCTGCGCAGCTCGGGTGCCAGGTCATTTGTCATGTTGACCTCTTGACCTAGGTACACATAGCTGTTGCATTCGGAGATGGTCGTTCCATTGAGAGGGAATGGGGCGTCAGGAACGAGGCTGACCTCTTCACACTAATTAAAGCAATTTCCCAAGGGCATTTTACTTTGGTTACTTTGGGGGCCACTCCCGGTGGTGCTTAGGGATCACTCCTGGCAGGCTTCAGAGACCATATGCGACTCCGGGATCCAACCCGGGCCGGCTGTGTGCCAGGCACTGCAGTACCGCTCCAACTCCAGCTCCTCGCCACATCAGACTGAAACCAACCTCAGCAAGTATTGCCAGGTCTGGTGAAGCAGTGCTGGCGCCACCCAGAGCCTGGGAGAGTCCTGCTGCACCACCTGACCCCGCAGAACCCAACAGTCACACTCGGAACATTCCTGTGAGGACACAGCGGCTGGCACAGGGAACAATGCACAAGTGAAAAAGTAGCCGGGGGCCCCCCCAGAAGTAGCAGGGAGCCAGTGACACACCCTGAGCCTGAGCCCGGGACAGGGCACTCACTCGTCACGTCCTTGATGAGCTCGGCGATGGAGGTGTGGTTGGCCAGGGAGCCCCGTGTCGCCTGCATGTGGGGTAGCTGGGAGACAATCTGCTTGATCTCGCCCACCGTCTTGGCGTTGTGCCTTTCCTGAGGGAGGGGAGAAGGTCACGACAGTACTGGGGACAGCACTCTGGGCCTCGCACACCTGTGCGTGTGCGCGTGTGCACACGCACACACACACATACACGGGGTGTACCCCAGTCACAGCCACAGCAGTGCTGGGAACGGCACCCAAGGCCACACACACACACACACACACACACACACACACACACACACAATGTGCCCCAGCCCCAGCCCTGGCTGCCAAGAGTGCATTTTTAAGAGTTTGGGTCTTTGGGTTGCCCAGGGCATGTTTGAATCACGTGCAAGGCAGTGCCCCGGGCTTCCTCCTGGCCTGGCACTCAGGGATCACTCCTGGCATGCACCGGACCACATGGAATGCTGGGAACTGAACCCTGGTCAGCTGCATGCAAAGTAAGCGCCTTACCTGCTGTGCTATCACTCCGGCTCCCCCAAATTAATTTTTTTTCTCTTTTTTTTTTTTAGTATTAGTGAAGCACCATGAGGTACAGTTGTAGATTTACAAATCTTTGTGCTGGGGTTTCGGTCATACAATGATCAAATACCCATCCCTCCACCAGTGCCCATTTCCCCCCACCCCCCCTCCCACCCTGCCTCTGTGGCAGGGCATTCCCCTTTGTTCTCTCTCTCCTTTTGGGTGTTGTGGTCTGCAAAAGAGGTATTGAGTGCAATCATGTTCAGTCCATAGTCTACGTTCAACATGCATTTCCCCTCCTGGGAGGATCCTCCAAACACCCTTTATTTGGTGCTCCCCTCTCTATCTGAACTGCCCTTTCCCCTAGAATACCCGGCTGGCCTCTAAGCTATGGAGTAATCCTCCTGGTGTTGATCTCAGCTATTCTTAGGTATTGATCTCATATTTTGTTGCTTTATATCCCCCAGATGAATGCAATATTTCTATCTCTATCCCTCTCTTTCTGACTCATTTCGCTTAGCATGATACTTTCCATATTGTACCACTTGTATGTAAATTTCATGACTTCATCTTTTCTAAGAGCTACATAGTACTCCATTGTGTAGATGTACCAAAGTTTCTTTAACCAGTCATCTGTTCTTGGGCACTCAGGTTTCTTCCAGTTTCTGGCTATTGTAAAGAGTGCTGCAATGAACAAACAAGTGCAGATGCCCCCAACTTAATTTTTAGTGTGAGAAATGGACACAAAACGAATTAGGCTATAACCAGATCCCACAGCCACAGGAAAATAGAAAAGGCAGGTTGGTGGGTCCAGGTACTGCGACAGCCACATCCTGCAGCACTGGGAGACCATGTGGACGGGAAGGAGCCCAGGGCCCACGTAGGCTACACATGACACTGCATAGTCCCTGCCAGGGATGTGGAGCTCAGCAAACTGTGCCTTGAAGCCACAAAAGCTAACGATCGTATAGCCTGAGACCTCAACAATAGCAAATCAAGTGTAAAACGTTTCCTGGGTCCAAGCTATACAGTGTGGGAGGCGCTTGCTCAGTGCCCGGCCTCCCCACAGAACCCCGAGGCCTGCCAGGAGCGAGCCCTGAGCACTGGCAGCGGGAAGGGAGGGAACTGGACAGCATGGCGAGCTCGGAGCTGGAACAGTGAATGCCTGACACTTCTTATCCATAGCTTTATAAGTCACGGTGAGGAAATAAAAAATTGAGGAACAAAACCCAAGTGAGACAAAAGCAACTTCAGAAATACAACAACCATGGGGTCAGAGTGACAGAACAGTGGCGAGGTGCTTGCCTTGCATGCGGCCAGCCTGGGTTCGAACCCCAGCATCCCATGTGGTTGCCTCAGCCCACCAGAAGTGATCCCTGAGCACAGAGCCAGGAGTTAGCCCTGAGCACCTCTGGGTGTGCCTCCCCTCAAAAAAAAAAAACCCAAAGAAATACAAATACTAATATTGTGGAGATAACTCCTAAAAAAGATGAAATCAGGAAATCACCCTTCAAGGGAAAAAGTGATTTTTAAAAACTTCCCCCAGAGTTAAAAAATTCAGCTTCTATCATTTTACGAATTCAGGTTTCAAAAGTGAGCTGAACCCAGAATAAACGAGCAGCAGGAGGGCGCGAGGTGCTAACGAAGCTGGGGGCCGGGGACTGTGCTCTCATTATCACACGCCTTCCCAGCCTGCTCCAGCTGAACCCGGATTCCCTAGATGCAGGAGCTAGTGGAGATGCCGCCACCATCAGCAGCTGGGAGGAAGGAGGGAGGGACAGGGAGTGCAGATGATGACTGGCAAAGGACCTGACACCAGGAGAGGGCCTGGCACCACCTTTCCCCGGGCGCCCACAGCCCGCCTGCTGCTTGGCCCCAGGCCCCAGTCACCTCAAAGGCGGCCAAGATGACCTTGGCCTTCTTGCTGAGCACGGCCATGGCGTTGAAGTTGCGGTCTCGGATCTTGGCGTAGAGCTCCTCGGCTGAGTCCAGCGGCAGCTTCTTGGCCTCTGTGGGCAGGTCCTGCCCATAACCCTGCCTCTTCAGGGCGAATTTTTCGGGTGGTAGCTTTACATGACCTGCACGGGAGGGGACACCCCAAGTGAGACTCCAGAGACTTCCTGTCAGGGGAGAGCACTAGGCTTTGAGTCACTAGATGCGCACGAGCGTAGGACGCTCACGCTTTTCACGCACGGCTTCCCTGGCCTGGTCTGCGGGACGCCTCCTGCTACTGCCAGCCCGAACCGAACTCAGGATGGGGCCACCCGAGGAAACATTCCCCAGGGCGGCCCACTGTCTTTCCTGCTGGCGCGTGCAAGTGCATGCCGTCTATACCGACATTTCAACAAGCCAAGAGGAGACCAGGATGGGGCAGGAGTGATAGCACAGCAGGGAGGGTGTTTGCCTGGCACAGGGCAGACCCAGGTTCGATTCCCAGCATCCCATATGCCCTCCTGAGCACCGCCAGGAGTAACTCCTGAGTGCAGCGCCAGGAGTAACCCCTGTGCATTGCCAAGTGTGACCCCTGTCACTGTCCTCCCATTGTTCATTGATTTTGCTCAAGCGGGCCCAGTAACATCTCCATTTTGAGACTTTTTACTTTGTTTGCCATATAGAACACGTCACGGGTAGCTTGCCAGGCTTTGCCATGCAGGGAAGATACTCTCCGAAAAAGAAAAAGAAAAAGAAAAAGAAAAAAAACAAGATCCCAGGAATCATCTCAGCACGGAAGTGTGCTTGAGGGCGGGAGACAGCTCCGACCGCTTCTTTGCTTTCTGTTTCCTTTCTCTGATTTTTGGGCCAAACCTGTCAGTGCTCAAGGCTTATTCCTGGCTCTGTGCTCTGGGCTAATTCTTGGCAGTGACTGGGGGAACCATATGCGGTCCTGGGGACCAAACTCACCCTAACTGCTGCACTGCCTCTAGCTCCAAGTTGGTTCCTTTCAAAAAAACATCCCCTCCATTTTCAACACAAATCCCGACGTGTCTACACACAATCAGCTCCACTGCTCTGGGTCCAGAGAGACGGGTCATCGGGGGCAGCGCACGCTCAAGTCCAGCTGTCTGTTCCTTTGAGCACTGCCCCATGTGGGACCTGAGCACTGTGGGGTGGGTGCTGAGAATCATAAAGCAACAAGAACTCCTGCATCGGAGAATGTGGGAGAGAAAGTGACCGACGGAAGAAAAATACTTCTCGGATGCTTTCCAAATCCTAAGCCCCTCGGAACAGCCCGGGCGCCAGCGTCTGGAGACAGCACGCCACGGTGGCCGCGGGACCCGGAGCCTGAGCACATGCTGAGATACACGAGGTCGGCAAGACCTCGCATTCCAGCTCAAAGCAGAGGGGCAGCCGCTGGCCCAGGCAGCCTGCACGCAGCTCCTGCACGGACCTGCCATCGCCCTCGGTCCAGCCATAGGCGCAGACCTGGGGGGTTATGGGGAAGCCCAATTTCCCCTTGTTTTTCAGATTTCTCTTAATGGTTTCTTTTGAGGGGGTCACACCCAGCAATGTACAGGAGTTACTCCTGACTCTGCACTCAGGAATTACTCCTGGCGGTGCTCAGGGCACCATATGGGATGCTGGGAATCGAACCCGGGCTTGAGCTGTGTGCAAGGCAAACGCCCTACCCGCTGTGCTATCACTCCAGCCCTCTCCCTTAATTAAATGTTTGATCAGAAGTAAGTGTGTGATGTGAAGAGACTGTGAGTTCCCGAAACTCCTTCCCCCCGGAGGCACCCCACGAGCCCCATCTCTCACACCTCTGCACCCAAAACCCCAGCACCTCTGCCACATCCATCAAGGGACTTGCAGAAGCACCAGGAGGCGGGGACCCCTCGCATGGGGTGCTCCCGTGCCAGTGAAAGCTCGGAGCAGGAGTCTGGGGAGGGGCTGTGTGTGTGGCATCACCCCCAGCTACTGCCAGGCACAGCCCGGGTGGGCGCAGGGCCACGGACTGGCCCCACAGAGCAGAAAATCACAGAGATCAGCCCCGCAGTCCCTTTGGCACTGCTCACGACTGTCCCCACAAAAGGAAGCAACTTAAGAAGTTATCCTTCACAACAATTGGTATAAAACGATCGGAAAAAAACCCCATAATCCTGAAAGAGCAGGAAAACGCTTTGTTGTGTGGAAATGCCTCCATGTGTGGTCCTGTTCTGCTTCCGTGGCCGCTGTCACTGAGCCACACATTCACCACTGCAGTGACATACACACTAACACACACGAACCCCCCCCACACACACACACACACCATCGCAATCCACTCTGCGATAACCAGCTTGGCACACTGGACAGACAGCACTGTCTGGACTCGGCCAGCACTCAGCAGCTGCAGGGCTCTGTGTCCGCAGAGAGACCCCATGCAGTTAGCTGCATCCCTGTCCTTCCAGACCCGGGCTCTATCCCCAGGGCTGTTTCCCTAGCCCCCGGCCAGGGCCACTCCTGAAGGCACCGGAGTTACCCCTCTTGCGGCCTGGGGCTCCCTGCTCTGAAGAAAAGACACGAATCAGACTGTGGGAAACTTCTCAGACTGTATCCCAGCAGGAGCTACTCCCGGCTCAGTGCTCACTGGACAGGCAGGAGCGCGGATGGAATCGAGCGCTGGCTGTGTGCCTGGCACTAGCCCCGTGAGCTTTCCTAGCCCCCACTCAGATCTGAAATGCTACAGAATCTAACATCCGGGGCCAAACCCCCCTGACCTCGGACCCAGGCACCCCTCAGAAACACTCTATTCCTCACGCCTCCTTGGGCGGCCCGAGCAGCGGGACTACACACCGCATGGCCCTCTGCACAAGGCCTTAGCCTCGGTTTCCCCGATGGTGTCCTGGCTCGAGCTCGCTTTAACCTTGGGCTGAAAGTCACATTTTCAAGTATTCTGACTTACACACAAAGGCCACACCTTTAAAAACAGACACTTTTGAGATTGATTTTACTCAGCTAACCTATTAGTAAATGATGTCACTTCACTTACTGTTCTGGATGCCATAAATTTCATCGATGAGTCCTTCGTATGTCAGCTGAGTCGCAAGGGGTGTTAATAAATCCACATTTCAATCAAGCAACAAGAGGTTATCAAAATCAGGAAATATTGAATTCTGACTTTCTGTAAACTCTCTCTTCATCCTGATCATCAAATTGGCCACTTGCTGGGAACAAAGTACAGAATCAGGCAGAGCCTTTTTAGCAATGGGCGGATTTTAAAATGAAGCTAAAAGGTGCCCGGAAATCCAAAATTTAAAAATAAGACGGAAAAAAATGGAACAATAAAATAAAACAAGACAGGCCTGAGACAGTATGGTGGGTAGGATGCTTGCCTTGCAGGTGGCTGACACAGGTTCAATTCCTGGCACCACATATGATCCCTCAAACCCTGCCAGGAGTGAGCCCCGAGCACTGCTGGGTACGGAGAGTGTGGGAGGAGGGAGAGGACGAGAGAGGGAGGGAGAGTAGGGATGGAAAAGAAAAGATAAAGAACAGAAAAGAGAAAAGGAAAGAGGGCTGGGAGACAGCAGAGGGGCCAGGGGTCATGCCTTGCACGCAGACAGCCTCAGTTTGGTGGCCCCAGCACAGAGCCAAGAGCACTGCGAGGTGGAGCCCCAAACCCCACCCGCAGGAGAGAGACCTCCGTCCCCGCCCCGGCTCACCCTGGCGCACTCGCCCTTGCCGAAGATCTAGGGGATGGTCCCGTACAGGCCTGCAGCGTCATCAGGCCCTTGGTCGCGTGGTACGTGCTTGTCTGTTCGCTGTCCAGGTAGCACTCCTGTGGGAGAGGGCCAGGCGTGTGGGCACAGGCTCTGTGAGTCAGTGCCGAGGCCCCAAGGCAGCACATCTACTGGGGGTGAGCATTGCTGGGCGGGCGAGGAAAGGCTGGCCTCCGCATGCCCGCGTGACCACACAGCAGAACACTCTAGGCTTGTAGAAGTGCAGGCAGCCTCTCCCACATACAGCAGCGAGTGTCACAGGGGACAGCAGGAGGGCAGCCACGGTCTCGGACAAGGGCCACAAGATCCATTTAACACACAGACAAAAAGAAACATCTTTGGCCCAGAAAGAGCAAAGAGCATGCACGCGCCACCCAGCAGGGTGGTTCAGCAGGGCTGACAGAGCACAGACGGTCCCCAGCAGGGCCTCAAGATCACTCCTGTGCCTCAATCCCTTCATCCAGCAAGTGCAGAGAGAAGAGGAGAAAAATCACGCAACGCGCTTCACCTGCTCTCCACCTGATGGGGCAGCACTGTTGGTGCCCATCGCAGGACTCTTTTTTAATTTTTTTTCTTTTTGGGTCACACCCGGCAATGTACTGGGGTTACTCCTGGCTCATGCACTCAAGAACTACTCCTAGTGGTGCTCGGGGGACCATATGGGATGCTGGGAATCGAACCCGTGTCTGCCGCATGCAAGGCAAACGCCCTACCTGCTGTGCTATTATTCCAGCTCCTCATTGTGGAATCTTTGACACTGTCTAAGGCAGCGGCCAACAGTCGTGCACCCCAACGGCATGAGGACGAGGAGGGCAGACTGAGGGCGGGGTGCAGAGAGAGACCTCCCAGAGAGCCTGGCCCAGAGTGAGCATAACATCCCCAAAGATCCCGTAGGATGTCTCTGCCAAGTTTGGGGTGCAGCCTCACACTTCAGTCCAAAACATCCTGGTCCGGATGTCCAAAGAGTCCTCAGAAAAGGACCAGAAGCTCCACATTGCAGCAGAGCAGAGAGGAAGATTCAGTGGAAGGAAAGCATTAGGGGGCCTCTTTTGAACTGCTCAGGGGCCCAGGTGACTGTTCAGAGCGGGAACTGTGTCTGCCTGCGGACAGCTCAGCCGGCTCCTGCCCGGCCTGCCAAGCCCCGAGCACCCAAACAAAATATTCATTTTGAAAAACAGCGTATTACTACAGAGACACCTCTAACAACTCCCACCCGGTGAGGCTCAGGGGATACCCCTGGCTCTGCAGTCAGGAATTATTCTGGTGGTGCTTCGGGGACCATATGGGATGCCGGGGATTGAACCTGGGTCAGCTGCGTGCAAGGCAAATGCCCTCCGAATGTATATAGCTCCAGCCCTTGGAATTCCTCTTTAAAAGCCCCTAGGGTCATAACTGGTGGTGTGTGGGTCCCTCCTGTCCTGAACACGGGACTCCCCAGGTGATGCGGGCTCAGGGGCCTTCGTGGTTCAGGGCAGGAGAGAAGGCGTGAATGCAGCATCCACGGGCGGATGTGGGGCCCTTGGCTCCGACCTGTCTCGGGTCTGTCTGCTGGGATGGCCTTGCCCCGCCCACGCAGGGCCAGGACCAACCCTGCGTGTGACCGAGACAGCTCCTATCCTCAGCTGGGGTGACCAAGACGCTTCCTCAACGCTTCTGCACTGCTGACTGGGAAAGGGAGCAGAGAAGCCGCTCCCAGACCTGCAATGGCTCAGATGGAAGGCGAAATCCTAGTCCAGTCACCACACAGGGCCGGGCAGGCCCCTGTCCTGTCACCAGAGAGGGGCAGGCAGGCCCGTATCCTATTACTACATAGGGGCATGCAGGCCTGTGTCCTGTCACCACACAAGGGCATGCAAGCCCCTCCCTGCTTCATGACTGGGGTGGGGAGAGACCATTAGGGGAGCCCAGGAAAGTTCTGGATTCCACAGGCTGAAGCCCAGAGACATGAGCAAACCCACAGGGAGCTGGGTGACAGCAGCCCAGAACCCAAGCGAGACCCAGGTTCTTTCTCTTAAGGTGCTGCTGAGACCAACGTGCCGAGGGGAAATGGTGCCTGGAAATCTGGTGATGCACCTGCGTTCTCGAAAGGTCGTGTCTTGAGACCAGCAGCAGCAGTACCACAAATCAACTCACACGCCCAAGGAATGTAGGGAAAAGCAGTCGCATCTCAAACACATCTGCACAAGCTTCCAATGATAGAGGACGCAGAGGGCACAGACAGGCACCGGGAGCGTTGGGGCCGTGCATGGGTTCAGGCTGACACCCTGGCTTGGCTCTGGGGGTGATACCTGGCGGGGCTTAGGGGACCGTATGGAGTGCTTGCGAACGAACCTGGGTCTCCAAGGGACAAGGCAAGTGCCCTACCCACCTTACTATCTCTCTGGCCCTGGTATGCCGGTTTTAGAAGACATTATCAAGCTAATGTGTTTCCCCCTTGCATCTTCCCCTTCATTCCGGTATTTATTTTCCCTTTCCCTCCCTTTCTCGCTGAGGCTGAGGGTCGCACAATTTAGGTGGTGGTTACCCACTGGGGGGCTCCCCCACTCGGCCTGCCAGAACTCCAGCCATGCCCAATTTTCCCTTTTTACAGTGAAGAATATGCCATAGGAAAAACATCTGGTTGAAAACTCACATAAATCAATGCTTTGGGGTCTACAGATTCTCTTAAGGGACTAAGCATGGAGAAACCTCACCCCACAGAAGAAAGAGACAGAGTTCTGGCCCAGGCACCCCTAAGAGCCAAGCTGACACTTTGAAAGAGAAATTGTTCAGAAGTGCTCCCTGTCATAAAGATAGTAAACAAAACATATAAAATCATATTTGCAAACAAAAAAACAACCTTCCAGAAAAAGACAATATTTAAAAAAGAAAAACTCCGGGGGGCCAGATAGATAGTATAGTGGGAAGGTGCTTCCCTGGCATCAAAGAGTCAAATATGGACCCCTGAGGACCCACAAGAGTAAACCCTGAGCATCACCAGGTGAGGCCTCAAGCAAAAACTAAAGCAAAGCAAACAAATAAATATGTGCTGAAAATAACCAGTAGGAAACAGGCTGGGACGGGCGTGGGGGAGAAACAGAATTTCCCGCACACCCTGCACCCAGCCCTGAGGTTACACTGCAGAACCTCAAGAGTTTGAATGAAAAATGTAAGCAATTTTATTTCTAGAAAACGAGAATGTAAGAAAAGAGTCTTCAGGTCTTGCCAAGGCTCAATCAAGGGGAAAGGCGGGTCATGGAAACAAAATCACTCACAAAGGGCTAACTGGAAAAACGCAGTGACAGACTTGACTATTTCAGGCTGGAGCGGCCCTGCCTTCCACTCTCAAAGCTTCCTCCACAGCCACAGTGAATTCAGGGTGGGACGGGCACAAGGACAAACATCGAACAGCAGCAGAGAAACACCAGAAATAAACACATTTAAAGACAACTGATTTTTGAGAATTCAGTAAGGGCAACAACAATTTTAAGCAAATTTGTTGAAACAGGAGGGTCTCCATAAGCAAGCGGAGCAGCGGCCCGAGAGGCAGCACAGGGGAAGGCGCTGGTCTTGCACGCAGCCAATCTGGGTTCTAGCCCCAGCACCACATATGGTCCCCGAGCATGCGCAGGAGTGATCCTTGAGCACAGAACCAGGAGTAAACCTTGAGCACTGCTGGGTGTGGCCCAACTCCCATCTCTCCCCAAAAGGAAGAAACTGGACGCTTCCAGGAATCACTAAAATGCCAGTGTGAGTGTCACCATCACAAACGAGGCAGAAACAAGTGTCAAGATCAAAGGGCAAACACTGAACTTACTCTGAAGGCGCCCTCCGACTCCATGGAAAAAAGGTCCCCGTCGAAGGGAATGAGGTCCAGGCTGTACTCCTCCCTACGGATGAAGGAGCCCAGGACGCCCAGGTCCTTCAGCCGCTGCTCACACAGCAGGCTACGCCGGGGCACAAACAAAATGTGGAAATCTCTTGTGGGGCCACGTCTGTCTTCACTGCAAGAGAAGGACCGTGCCTTGGCCCGAGGCCCCGACGCGAGGACTGCTCCCCAGGGCCCCACCTGTGCCTGACACACAGTGGGCTCTAAAGAGACGCTTATGAGCTAACCCCCACTACTGACTCGGCCCAAGATTTTAGTTTTCCTGCTCTCTTGATGTGATGCTTTTTCTGGAAACCGCTCACCTATGCTCTGCCAAGGGGCAGTGCTGCTTTCTCTTGGGCCATTGATGGGACATGAAAACTCTCAGGGTTGGGGCTGGAGCAACAGTGCAGCGGGTAGGGCGTTTGCCTTGCATGCGGCCGACTCGGATTCGATTCCCAGTTCCCAACATCCTATATGGTCCCCTGAGCACCACCGGGGGTAATTCCTGACTACAGAGCCAGGAGTAACCCCTGTGCATTGCCGGGTGTCACCCAAAAAGAGAAAAAAAAAAAAGAAAAACCTCTCAGGGTTATTGCAACGGACATCTGTTTCTTGCAGAAAAAAAAATGTTTCTATTTAATCAAGCGATGTCTCTAGGAAAATAAAAGGTTGCTCTACACCGTGCCCGATCTTGCGCAAATACCCCACATGCTTTTAAGTCCTTAGGGGCCATGTCGATCAAACGTAATGCAGACTGGGCTGGTGCACTTCCTCCATAGATGCTGCAGCATTAAATATTAATCATCTTTTCCTGACGTTGCTTATGAAATTTGAGCATATGGTATTCAGTACTTGAAAAAGAACCACTAGCTGTTTTTCTTTTTATAAAAAAATCTGGGTCCTTCTACTGAGACAGGCCGGAGCTTCCTACTGTCCTGAGAGAGTGGGTTTCTGTGGTTTGCCCTGCCTCCCCAAGCCCCAACCCACAAAGTTTCCCATTCTCTATTTATAGTTTTTGGGTCACACCTGCAGGTGCTCAGGGATAACTCCTGGCTATGCACTCAGAAGTCACTCCTGGAAAAGTTGGGGACCACACTGGGTTCCGAGGATCTATCCTTGTCTGGCTGCAGAGTATCCTACTCCTGACCCCCCATTCTCCTCCGACACACTCTCACATCTGTCCAAAGATCCACTTCCTAAAGCGCTGGCAAGCAAAGGTGTCCTGATGAGCACTAAAACCACTAGAGGAATGATTCCGTATGGACCAAGCATCAGTTCTGAGATACCTAAGCACATTTTCAGCAATTATATCCATCAGTTCTAGCCGGGGTCTGACGAAAAAAATGATATTCTTGACATCCGCTGCTTGCAAGCGGCTTCCTTTGAGTGTGAACATATTCTCCACCTCATGTTCCTAGGAAAGCACACATACAAATGGTGAACAGAACCCCTAAAGCTTAGCAGCCGACCCAAACGCGGACATCACTGCAGGCAGCCAAACCGGGTTGGATTGCCGGCCTCCCACACCGTCCCCAAACACCACCAAGAGTCATTCCTGAGTGCAGAGCTAGGGGTAAGTCTGAGCACTGCCTGGGGTGGCCCAAACAAAACAGACCAACAACAAAAACTCAGGTGTTCTAACACTCCCACTCCAAAGCACAGTAGACTTTAGTGTTGAGTCAGAGAATGCAGGGGTT